GAAGTATGCAGTGCGGAAAGATAGTAAGATTAACTCCATGTTCAAATGATTTAGGTTTATATGAAGGATGATATGAATAGCACCTTCATCTATGATTGAAGTCGGATTGATAATAGATCATAACAAACATCGAGTCTTTATAGATATGGGAATGTATTCCGAGATTCTAAATTTAGAGTGCCATAGGTAGTACAGAACTCTATTAAGTTTAACATTGAATATTTTGGAATGAGGAGGGAATGACTCAACTAAGTTTATTATCTAGTATGAGCCTATGCTAGAAACATACTTGAAACTAGAGGTAAGATCGAAGTCTGCATGGATCTTGTGAAAATCTAAGGATAATGGATAAATCCTTTTAGGTCATAGCTTAAGTGTAGATGTTTCTAAAAGTTATAGAGTGATAATCATTAGACATTTTGAAGAAAGATAGTGTACCATAATTGAGGTTATCATCCTGAAGTTAGGGATGACTAAGTCAGGATAAGTTGGGATACAACAATGCGAGGATCTAAGTAAGTAATGAGTTTTATTGTGTAGTCGTTCTTAACATAGAAGTATTAATATATGATATTTCCACAACTTTGGGTACCTTATCGTATAAGATATAGTAAGCTTCATTGAATTTTAGTTTGTAACCCGATTCCCTATTCACATCATGTAGAGAAATAGTTACCTTGAAAATTTTAGTTACGGGAGTGATTTCTCGCCTTAAATACAAATGCTTAGACATGTTGTAGTAATCAACGGGTGAAGCAAGATGCTTAGGTGCCCAAAATTTGAGGCAGTGGTAACGATGAAACATAGTCGTTTCTATGGTTAAGAAAGTCAAAATTGTGAATAATATTGAATGTAGATAGTTTGGAGTTCTAGGAAAAATAATAGGTAATGATCCATAGGACTTGTCATCTCATGAGATATGAGAATGTAATAACCGATTTGCAGAAGAGTAAAACCTTCGATTTGAACACATTATATTAAAACATATATGGCCTATTGGGAGATAGGATAGCTAAGATATTCCGAAGAAATAAAATGGAATATATATCAATGATCATATGAACGTGAAGCGTAAGGTAAGGCTAAAATTTTCCCCGAAATTCTGGAATTCAAGGAGGGACATTGCGAGAGACCTTAAAGGGCAATGAAGAACTTCTTAGAAAATCTAAGGAAAGCCAAAAATTTTGAAAGTTTTTCTACGTAGAAATTATTATTCAAAAGCGCAACCATTGGAATAGTGAATTAGTTGAAGGTTATGTCGATAGAGGATAACATATCATATGAATAGAGCTAGGCAAACCAATGAGAGAGATAAGTCCATCCCTGTGAAGAAAAAAATTAGACTGTAAGTAAATGATTGTTGACAGCTAAAGTCAAACAAAAGATAGAAACCGTGGGAGTTTCACGGGTCCTCATATATGGAATTAAGACTTATCTTTATTGGTGATGTAGTCTATTCTAATGTTCAAGACCTATTAGTAATTATGGAAGATCGTAAATTAACATAAGAAAAGGCGCAACCATATGAGGAGAGTGTATGGAGAAAATATCCCTAATGATAACCCAAGGGTTATTGCTCCTTAACGGAAAGCGAGGGAGTAATAATAGAGTTTCATAAGTGACATGTAGACATCAAGAAACTATTCGTCCTCCTGAGAGATGTTTATTGATAAACCTACGTGAAAATTACAAGAGATCAATAAAATCTTTAAGTCGTGCCTAGGACTTGTGACCCTTATGGTAGGTCCTAAGAATTCAACCCAATTTGAGTAGATATAGTAAAAGTTAACTAATTGATTTATTGAAGGGCTATATTACTTTGAAGATAATCAAATAGAAGGGATCATTCTGTACCTTGAATACTTGGAAAAGCTAATTGTAATTAAATAGTTGGAAAAGTGTAGGAAAAAGAAAATAAAGAGGAATAATAATAAAATAATATAAAATACTTCCACACAAGATCATCAAACAAAGGATATCTATACGCATTTCAAGAGATAGTAGCACAACCAAGTTTCGAGGACGAAACTTCTTTTAAGTGGGGATGGATGTAATACCCGAACATTTTTCGAAAATTATTTAGTGAATTATTTAAAAACAAAAGTAAATGAAAATAGTTTGAATTATTTAGTGAGTTTTATTCATCATTATTACAAGCACAACACGTATGAGAACAATTTAGTGAACCAAAGAACGAGTTAGGAAAGATTACCAGTGAGACGTTACATCCATATAAATTGTTATTAAGTAATTAATAACAAATTAAATCCACAAAATCTAAACTTAGGCCACAAGTTAAATTTCTAGGAGACAAAGTATCAAGGTGACATGGCCAATATGTTGCTACTTTATGCTCAAGTAACTAAAGTTGTATGATGGTATAAGAAAAGGAGGGGAAAACTAAACAAATACATAAAAGTTTTCAAAGGAAATGAAAGAAATAAATTAAATAAATACTTGGGCACCAAGTTTTGAGCCACAAACGTGGCCTATAGCTGAACTTTTACTTGAAGTTTCAGCCACCCAAATGGCCAAGTTTTGTAAGTATTAAAATAAAGTTTTTGTTGCCAAAACTTCAAGGCAAAAAGGTTAGTACTAGTTCTATTTAAGTGCCTAAACCTTCAATGTCTTGCCTTCTCCTGCATCAGCCAATATCCAACTAATATACCCTCATGCATTTTCAAATCCATTCCAAAGTTAAATACGAAGCTTGGGTAATTAGTAAATTATATTCAAGAACGAAGGAGATAAGCAACCTAGGAAAATAAAACAAGGAGGGGAGGTAAGGCCATTTCTCCAGCATCATTTCGAAATGCTTAAGTCTCTTAGGAAAGTCTACAAAGAGTCCAAAGGCACCATAGTTGGATATCATTTGTCAAACAAGGTAATTCTCGAGTCATGCCTCTAAAGTTACGATAGTAGTTTTAATTTTGAAAGTCGGGGTTAAAGGCATTATAAAATTATCAAACTTTTAATATAAGCTCCTAATTGAATTTTTATTAGGATGTGAAAGTTTCAGAAGTTTTAGAGAAGTAAAGTTAGAGAAATAAATTGTCAAGTTTAGGTTGCTTAGGTCATTATTTTTCTTAAACAGAATAGATTGTATAATTTATAATATATTTTATACTTGTCTAAAATTCCTGTAACTTTTGCATATATTTTTTGACATGCTAAGGTACGTAAATTTCAATTATAAACTTATTTCAAAAATTATACTAAGAGTTATGGATTTTCAAAAACTCTACTGATTTCTGAATCCAAAAGGTCAAAACTGTCTAATTTTATCAATTGTTTCTCTACAACAAAAACTCCGATTTATATAAATTTTATATCCATATGAACCTCTTGAAGTATTCTATCCTATATAAAAATTACAAAAGTTTTCCTATTACAAATGATTAATTTTGACTAGAAACGTTTTAACTACTCTATTTTGCCGATTCTAAGGAACGATAGATTTTGATTAAATTTTTATGAGAAAATTATTTCATAAAATGCTATTAAATATTTTAGAAACTTATTTAAAAGGGTTCCTGTTTTGAAACACATTTTAGTTTTTATGGGGATGTTTATAAAAGTTTGTTTTAAAGTTAATCTTACGAACCGTTCAACTAATATATCTTTAAGAAGGGTCATGTCTAATAACATAGTTTTTAAGTTAAATCGTTTGGGGCTCTCTGGAAATTATATTTAATGTGATTTATTGTACAATATGTTTGAGATTGGAATGTAAGAACTTCAAATAATAACATCTAAGTTAAAGTATTTGTAAAAGAAATAAGTATTTGAGAAATAGTATATATTATGAAAGGATTTTACATAATGTTAGGTGACGAAAAAGGTTATGAATTGCTCGAAGAAGAAATTGCTTAAGCAAAAAGGGTGCGTTCCCTCTTAACATTTGGTGTAAGTATTTATTTTGATCGTGACGCATATTATTTTGTTTATATTCAATTGTGTATAAAATTGTTTAATTATTTAAAAGTATGATGTTCTTTACATTTTTTTATAATATATGTTAGTAAATCATTTAGATAAACAAATAGGGTTTTTTTGAGTTGTACAAAATGTTTTTGTCTAATATTGGCTTAAAAAACCCCAGCAATGACGGCAAATTGGTGGATCAGCCTCCATGGCGATACTTATCCGCCGGTGGCTCACCATGATCTGCCAAGAACGTTTGTGAGTTTCTTCATAAAGCTTTTAAATGGCCCAATGGCTAAAGATTCTTTAATAAAGCAGGTGAAGTTTATCAACGGAACTCCAACTTTGGAGTTTGAAGATGATAAATTTAAAAAATTGGTGGCCCTCCATCGTCTGAGCTTGGTTTGAAAATTCTCGGGAGACCAAAAATGGAGGAGGTGCATAAGCAATTCAAGAAAATCAGCTTCAATGGTGGATACACCTGGGGTTTAATGAATCCGAGGCATGTTTTGATCCGGTTTGAACAAGAGGAAAATTACCAAAGATGTTGGATACGTACTTTTTGGAGTATCGGGGGTTTTTCTATGTGGATTTTGAAGTGGACTCTCAGATTTCGATTCGAGGAAGATGCACTAGTGGTGCTAATATGGGTTGCTCTTTACGATCTTCCCATTGAATATATGCATCCTGAAGTTATTTTCTCAATGGCCACAACATTGGAACAACCTTTGAAGGTGGACATGCCACCCTTGAACATGACTCGTCCATCGGTTGCGCATTTTTGCGTAGAAGTAGACCTCACCAAAGACTCGCCAAAGTCCGTCAAAATTGGCAAGAAGCGCTGGAAGCATGTGCAGTTTCTTCACGTTTGAACATGTGCCATCTTATTGTGTTAAGTGTAGTAAGATTGGTCGTAAAAACGAAAAATGCCAGATGGGGAAACCCTTGCAGCAAAACAACGGTCACGACTCAATTGAGGCGCATGTTGTTAAGAAGAAGGGAATCAAGATTGCACAGGCTAAGCCAAAATGGAATTTCAAAAAATGGGACTGATGAAACTAATATGCAAGCCCTAGATGTGGAGATTATCTTTACTGAACCAAGCCATAGCGAAAGGTGTTGATTTGCAGCAGCCCACATCGCATGATCCTAAGCCTCCTGCGGAAACCCTAGCTGCGCGAGATACTTTGTCGCAGCCTGCGAAAACCCTAGCTGCGCGAATAAAAGGTTCGACGTCTGGTTTATCTGCGGCAGAGAAGGAAACCATTATGATTGATTTGCAGCCATCCCCTGAAAGAAATGAGAACGAGATTGATGTAGTTAATGTGCATAACTCTATTCCGACTCCAACTACAAACAGATTCTCGGCGCTGCAAGATATGTGTGATGGTGAAGTTGATTTGCTAGTTGAGACTGATGACGAAGTTGAAAATGTGTATACAGAAGGTAATGATGTTCAGGGTGATAAGCCAGCTGCTCTGATGAATGAACCAGCTCCAGTAGCGATAACTATAATGGATGAAAAGTCCGCTGCTCCCTCAAATGAATTGATTACTGATGATGTTTTAGCAAGCATGTCGCAGCTGGTAGTTGGTAAGTTCCCTGATGACTCATTCAAGATGGAAAGTCAAGATGATAATGTGGACCAAGAGGATGAAGGTCGGTGGTCAGAAGGTGAAAAAGATGTTGTGCTAATAACTCAAAATGAGCAAGGGGAACGTTCTGTCAAGAAGAAGCGTAGCCGACAAATGAAGGAGGCTCGTGCTAAACTGTTGGAAGGGGCTGAGTTGCGGCGGTGCCTTCGACTTCAGTAGTGTGTCTTTTTTATGAAATTTTCCAATGATTAGTGTTATATTTTGGAATGTTAGAGGAATACAAAGTCAGGCATCACAACGTCGCTTGCGAACTCATATCCAAAGGTTTCGGGTTTCGCTTGTGGTGATTCTCGAGCCAATGCTTCCATCAAGGAAATAAAATACAAGCTAACTGTTTAAGAGAAGAAGACAGCTTATGCAGTTCAGAGGTCACTCCGGAGAGTGACAGGATTCACTCAGAGGACTGAAGCAGTGACTAAGATGGTTGTTCTTCAACTTGGCTTCCTTACTGAGTTGTTGATGTTCTTCCTTCCTTCTTGTCTTCTTCTAGAGTTTTTCTGTGTGTTCTTGGCAACTGAAAGGTGTAGCCAGAGATATTCTTTCTTCTGAGAGTGCAGCTCTCCTTTTATAGAGCCCTCCAGCCAGTTCTTCAATCAAGAGAGCCTCCCCATGCTTGTAAATTGTTTAATCCTCCCTAAGCCTTGTGTCTGGAATCCGAAATTGAATGGTCTTCTTCTCTTCTTCCAGTAGTGGCAGCAGCAACCTCATTGATCAGCATGGGTGGTTGGAATTTCGACCAAGAGACAAGCATGCCCTTTGGAATTCAAATGAGACACACACTCATTAATGGCAAGATGCCTTGTGTCTTGGGAGTGTTTTTTCGACCAGCTCAGCAAAAATTGTATCAGCAGCCCACAATTTGTTCCTTTGGCCCCGATTTTTAGCATTTGTTCAATCAAGTCCTATCCTAATAGAAAACACAAAACTAGTCAAGTGAAATGCACTAATATTAAGAAATACCCCTAATTTCTTACTGAATTCAGAGTTAATTGTGATGCTTTAATGTAACAAATAAACTATTATCAAATGTTGAAGATGATGAAGATGATTCTCAAAATGACTTGTCTTTCTTGCAAGTTGGAGATGATGATATGGAAGCTTTTGACTAAACTATGTCAAAATTGGACTCTAATGCTTTTGTCTTTTGTATATGGTAGGCCGATTAGATGCTATTCTTTTGCATATAAGTAAATTAGGTGTTATTCCTTTTGGATATAAATGTATAGCATTATGAATTCTCTCGGCCCTTTTGGATTCAACTTAGATAATTTAGGATGCTTTATTCTAGGCTTTTGGCAGGTGTTGATGTATAGGTGAAGTGTTTGTTCTTTAGAACAAGTACTAATTTACCACTACGTTTATAGTAGTATATGTTGTAATTAAGTAGGTGTTTCATGTAAGGATGATATGGAATGTGTCGTGAGAGTCAAACTCATTCGGTGGTTTTATACTTTTATGTTCTTAAGAAATGTTAATGTTCTATTTCACGTTCATAATATTGCAAGTACTATAGATTAGTGTATGTACTTGTTTAGTAGCTCTTTGTTGTGAAAGTTGTAATTAACTTGGTGTTTCATGTAAGGATGATATGGAATGTGTCGTGAGAGTCAAACTCATTCAGTGGTTTTATACTTTTATGTTCTTAAGAAATGTGAATGTTCTATTTCACGTTCATAATATTGCAGGTACTATAGATTAGTGTATGTACTTGTTAAAGCTCTTTGTTGTGAAAGTTGTATTCTTCAGCCTTTCCAATAAATCAACGTGTGTAGTTGTCCAATTGTGCATTTGGTTGAATTGGAATCATTTTGAAAAAACTTTAAACTTTTAAAGTTTGGATGATAATGCATTTGTTTATGTTTAATCTTTTTTTTTTCAAAAGGTGTTTAATCTTTAACTTTTGAAAAGAACAACAGAATTATGATTTTTTTGGTTATAGCTAATATATTTATTATTTTTTGTGATAATTTAAAATTATTTATTACGTATTTATGACATCACTGATTTTTTAGAGCGGTTGAACCGGTTCAAACCAGTGAACCAGTGAATCAGTTACTTCACCGATTCGGTCCGATTTTCAAAACATAGGCTAAAACACTCTGGGGAGCGGCAATCACACCATGGAGTGATGCAAAAACCAACTTGGTGCTAAAAATTTTCATTGGTCTCTGCTTTTGGTGTACCCAATGTCTTTGATTTAGCAAAGTCTTTCTCTTTGCTCTCTTAACTGATACTTAATTTGAAATTGAATGCTAAGTCCTTTGAAGGTTTGATAAAGTGTGTGATGCTTTGGTTTTGAAATTTTGTGTATTTAATGTCTAATTGCTTGTCTTTAGTCTGGATTTAGATTTTGGTTATCATTTTAAGCATTGATGCCATCAAGAAACCTTGTGATAAATTTTCAAAAACAAATTGTGTGATGGAATTTCAATTACCTAGTTCCTTTTTGAGTTTTGGTCTTCAATTTCAATTTTATTTTCGGAACTATGGTGATTTTGAGTTGATTGCTTTGTATGGTCTCTATGCATATTTCCATATATCAATGAAATTCATGATTTTAATGTCTAATATTTTTAGTTTGTGCGTACATGCTAATCCTTGGTACTTGCAAAAAACATTTGTTGTATGTTTTTAATGGTTAACAGTTACAATGTCGGTTGGCCGTAACAAGGACGTCATGAACCCTTGTATCGTGTATTGTACTGAGGGTGGATGTGCTGGATTTTACAATCACAACAAGCAAGGTTGCAATTGATGGTTGACATGTCTTCCAAATAGGGGAGTGTTTCTAATTCTTTATTATTTTTGCACTTCTTTTGAGTTTTGCATTTTTTTGATATTATGAAGACAGTCATATTTAAGCTTAGGGGAAGTAGTGTCAAGCCATGTTATTTGATTATCATCTTTGCATGATGTTGTTAGTTTTTGTGGTTCTTTTATGCACTTTACCATGTGGTTATCAGTTGTTTTCTTTCCCTATGTGTTTATGTGTTTCCATTGAGGGAAATGTCCATTTTAAGTTTTGGGGGAGAGTCTACCTCATGTTTTGGGTGGTAGTGCATACGTCCTCAAGTATTCGGTTCAAACTCTTATTTTCAAAAAAAAAAATCAAAAAATCATTTTAAAAAAAAATATTTAAAAAATTTTTTTGTTTTCAATAAAATCAAGAAAGAATTGCATCCTTTTAGAATTGTCAATATTCTATTATGAATTCAAATTTGAGGGGTATATGTGGCTTTAAAAACATCTGTTCAGGATCATTTTTCGGTAATGTTAGAAACTCATAACCACATCCTTATGCTCAACATTCCACGTGACAATGTGGTTGCTTTGGGCTTAAAATTTTAAAATCTTGAATGTTTAATGCATTGTTGTGATGTTATACTGGAGTCCACTTGTCTGAAACTTGGGGGGACTGTAAATCTAAGAGTTAGGCTAAGGCAGCCCTACACGATTATGGCAGTCTAGAATCGAGCCCATAGTGGTTTGTATTAGCCTAAATACCTTGGGAAAAGGGGGAAGGTTGGCGGTTGAATATGAGGTTAAGTGTTTTATCTAATGAGGAAGTATAGGCAGAGTGTCCAATGTGGCATTTAATCCCTTGAGAGGTGAGGTATGACACCAAAGAGAGGAGTGTCCTCACGCCTGGTGAGTTTAAAAGAAATTAAATTTAGATTATCATAGTTGCTGAAACATGCTCTTGGTAAAAGTCTGAGTGGAAAAGAGTCTGAAAAAAAGCCAATTGGACCAAGGTGGAAAAGATGCAGCCAGTGATGCTTGCAAAAATGAGAGGAGTTTTGAAGTTTGTTTCACACACTCACGGAAGTGAGTTTTTGACTTGCTCAATTAATACTGAACTGTGGTGTACATTATCTGTCTCTCTGACGAGAGTTGAATCTGAGATAAAGTTTTGGCAATTCTATTTGTAAATGAGTTTTGAATTTGTTTGCTTGAGGACAAGCAAAGTCTTAAGTTTGGGGGAGTTTGATGAGTCTAATATTTACATATATTTTTTTATAATTTTCCTTAAGATTTTGTGTTATTTTTATGTGCTTTAAAGAATATTTACTTAATAAAATATTTATTTTGCAGGATTTTGGAGATTGACCGTAATTGGAGTTAAATTGGAGAAAAGGCATTTAATTGAAGAAGAAGATTGAAGCTACGGACGCAATTGAATATGTGATGAATTTGAAGAAAGAAAGTAATGAAGTTGAAGATTTAAAAGGACCAGAATGCATATATAGAGAAGTTCATTAAAGTTGGCCGAGAAGTGGAAACTAGGAATGCCCAGCCAACTTGGTTTTAACCATGAATTTGCTTCTCAAAATGGGTCGCTGGATTGTGCTTTTGTGGTGGGAAGAGTTTCACTTTTTCAAGTGCTTAATAAGGTTTAATTAATTAAATAAAATACAGCCCAAATGTGATCAAGCTGCAGCCCTACTTTGCCTTTGACTTATAAAAAAAGAAAACGTGAAGAATCACCTAGGGAGAGAAGTTCGGCAGGGGACAACATCGCAGCAGACTTGGAGTTCAAGTTCGTGTGTCCTTGGACTGCACACAACAAAGCAGGGGGCAGCAGCCCCTTGCTGCTGTTCCTACAACCCAGACTCATCGTTTGTTTATTTTATTTATGTTTTACAAGTAGTTTGTTGGTTCAATTATACAAAATACATGGATATTGTTTGATGATTTCTTGAACTACTTTTGTTGGTGATTTATGAATAGTTGTTCTTCTTGATTTAATTCCATACAATTGTTAATGGCCTGATAGTTGTTTGTGTTTGAGAATTATACATTACTAGGAATTGAGTGTATAATTTTAACTCTTGGAGGGATAAATCATGACATAAACGTAAAAGTTTATGATTTCTTGTCGGATAAGAATATATCGATAAGGCATGGATGGCCAAATGAGATACCTAATCGTATTGACTTTATAATTAATTCAGCCATAGGAATATAGGTTTTTTTTTTTTAGTTATAAAGCTACCCTTAGGACTTCGGAAGGAGCTTAAGGATATAATTAGGAGATCCGACCAACATTCATTCACCACAGTTAGTTTAGGTTTGATTCGGAAATTGAAGTGGAAATAAATAATTGAACTTACTTGCATCATTTTATTTGTTTTCTCCATCATCATTTTAGCTTTAGGATT